AGACTAAAGATGGAGGATGTCTCTGACGTCAAAGTAAAAAATTGCTACGCTAGCGCCATCTGTTCCGTCGAAGTTGGTATTTTGCGAAACTGGCCGGGTCCTTACAGAATTGACTAACGGTGTCTTCGCGTTTGCTGGTATGCTGTTTATTGGGATCCAGAGTTTTTAATATGGGATCCCAGGTGTTTGATAGTTTGTGGCCGTCCTCCCTATTGAAATTTCGGTGTTAATATTGTGCCGTTGGGCCAGTTTCTTTTTTAGTCATTTCTTATTCTTCCTTATTATATCTTACTTAACACTAAGTCGACAGATTTATTCAAGTTCACATACCAAATATAATAAATCACAATTAACCGATAAAAGCACCGTTTAAATATTTAGACAGATAGGTGTAATTACGTAAGTTGCACTTTGTTAAATGATATTAATTTTCTACTTAGCCTCGACATTCGCTATCGTGAAGGATTTCGTAATTAAAATTCCGAAATTAGGATAGAGGAAAAGCTTCAAACATAATGCATGAAGCAAAAATGGATTGTGCTAATCACAGAGAAGGTTTTAAGATTGTTTAGTGGAAAACTTAGCTTTTGTCTCATTCTTTCTTTATATCGAGTGATAAAGACAAAATATATAACAAAATCTCTGAGAAGATACTGCTGAGAAAAATTCGTAAAGCTTTATGGAGCAATGGACATGAGTTCAAGTCTTGCCTTTGTAATGCTATTTTCACATGTACATAATAAAATAAAAATATGTTTCTTATATTTGTAAGATGCGGCTGCAATGCAGTACAAATTTTATTCTTCTTTAACCATGGATCTGTCGGACTTAGTAAAACAATTTCTTAAGTTATTTTGAAATTGTTAAATTTGATCAATATAATTGAAATTAATAAAAAGAAATCTTTGTGGTAGATACTACGTATATTTATAAAAATAGTATAATACCTAAAATCGACTTTTATAATCCAAACACAAAGATTATTAAAGTAAAAGGGTTTTATCATACATATACTCGCCAATCCACGATCTCATTAGCGAATAGCCTCAAAGCAGTATAAAATTATTAGACCACACGTCGCGAGGCAAATTAAAGCGAGCACTTTTTTATTATGCCTAACGCAAGTGATTACTTAGCCGATAGTTTATGTAGCGTTTATTTAAATTACTTTTTAATTGAGCTGTTCAATGTGCTCAGATGTTTATAGTCTTGATAATTAGCTTAGTTTAGCTATTTGGATGAGTTTTTACGTAGTTTAATATATGTCAAGGTAAATAAGGTTGATTACGATATATGTACTATTCTTTTCTGACAGAAGAGGAGATGAATATCCGAAATTCTAAATTTAAAAAATAGAAAAAACTAACACGCACTTATGTAGTTATAATATCATCACTTGTCTTTTATGGAATTACAAATAAATAATAGACCGTAGTCTATTATACTGTATATAATTATTAATTTAAATGTAAAAACGAATTCTGATAGCACAAAAATCAAACTTCGACCGTTTATATTTAAAATAACAGTGTACATTCACTTTTTAATTAATGATAAAATGAACATAGAAAACGTTTTTACGATTTCTGCGTATCGTATTGCAAGTGGCAAGTAATAAGCAGAGAACTTGTCTGTTAAACAACGGAACAAGGAAACGGACACAGAAATGTTTTCGCCCCCATGCCCCACGAGGGGGAAACGGTATTTCACTACTATCAAATCTAAACGGGATATTACACAATATGTTCGAATTATCGGTATATGTCTCTATTGTTATTTCCACCGAGCTATTACAAAGTCTATAAAAATGCCACATACATAACACGACGGATGAAGTGAGTTTATATTTTGCCGTCCTTGTCGGTTATGCGGAAATTTAGAATAAGTTTTTTATACTCAACAAGCATACACTGTTTATGAATTAAATGCCTTGCATTGTACATTATTCGGTTAGTACAAGAATTTGAAAAACAGCCGCTGTTTAAAGTCATTTCATACTTCCTGATTACTTAGAGCAGACGTGAATGTCGAGTTTAGACTTTGTATAGATTCCGCATTTTACGACTAGGGGAAATCCCGTTTTCTGTACGTGGGTATGGAACAAATGATTTTATTTAGATGCAAATAACTATAACACTAAACGACAGAATGTATCAGGGGATATTTTTTAATTTGTTTCAAGACTTTTGTTCCTAAGAACGTTAGGCAAAGTGATAACAATGAAACCATCGTCCACAGATGAAAAAGCGTCAAGTTTAATCGCGTTTCGGTTGCCGTCTATGTATTTTAAAATTTCAAAGCCAAAATATATATATTGCATGGTTGTCTGTCTTTCTTTATGATAAAAAAAACACTCCGTAGTGTTTTTTTACTTAACTTCTTGGTATTTTTATTTGAAACCAACTCATATTTTCCTCTGTGGGTTGACCGACGCTCCTTTCCACTGCGACACCTAGTAATTAAATAATTATAGTGACAAATTACCTGAATATACAATTATTAACTTATAAGAGTATATATTTATAATTTTTGACATTAATAAGGTAACGAGATGCCAAACGGCGGGACGGCCACTGTGGTCCGTTGTTACTGATTTTAAAGTTGGGATAAACTTTATTTTCCGAGTTTGACCGACACTTTAATTATTGTAATAAAATTAATTTCTTAAATGAAACTTTACCTTTGCCCAATAACCCAAGCAACTCATTCAAACTGCCCACATTTTGTTTTACATTAACAAAAGACGCTGATTTATCGCTGTGAAACTCTGAAAAAAATTAGGCATTCATTCTATGAAATCGTTAGCCTTGTGAGTATTTTTATTTCCTTTACTTTAGCTACCGTTAAAATTCCGTGTTTTCATTTAATTACAAGGTTAGTTTTCAGGACATTGTCAAATAAGTGTTAATTTCTTTTAACTATAGAACGTAGGTACTTAACTCTCATTTACATGTATATATTCAAATTAATATTTTTTGATGAAGGCTTAGGCTATAAAACCTCAGTCTGCGAAATGTATATAGAACGGGAAAAATAATTTATCTTTGGAGCTTCCGCTGTGCGCAATGTGAAAAAGATTCAAGATATCCAAAAAAATGGATATAAGAATTATTCTTCTATAAAGGACCTAAATGATGACCGCCGTGAGTATATGACTATCTTTTAAGATTAACTCACAAGATCGACAAGGTTTGCAAAAACAACTTTTTATGCCCATAATAACTATTCAACAGGGACGAAGTCAAGACAGCTAATTTATTATAACTCATAATCAAAGCCAAGTCATTATAATTATCCATAACCATGGCACATTATTCGCGGATAGCACGGTGAGAAAGTAATACCATTGTAAGCTTCCCAGCGCAGTACAATTTTGAAAATTAAAAAATAATGTACTTACTTATAATTTAAAAATCGAAAATAAATTGAAAAAATTTTCGACTCGAGCAGGACTTGAACCGGCATCGTCAGCTTTCCGTGCTGTTGCTCTACCAATTGAGCTACCGAGTCCTACACCTTATCGTCGAATTTTTTCAACTTATTGATACATGCACCTCTCGCGCATTGTAATTTCAACCTTAACACTTGCAACTTGCACTTGAAATTTTTTTCAATTGATTTTCGATTTTTAAATTATATAGTGCCTTCATGTGCAATAACATGTGAAAAATATTAATGTTTTCAAACGTACTTACTTATACTTAATAAATTGTGTAAGGCTTTCACTGCCTTTACTTATACTTATTGAGCAACTTACGTTCTGAATGTTTCATTTCAAATTCGTTAAACATTTTCTTCAAATCGCTCATGTAGACAGGTTTATCATTTGTTTCTAAAAATAAATCTAACGATAATTGTTTCTCTAGTAATGGTATTTAAATGACTCCATAATATTTTTATTTCTTCATTTACCTGGGTTAAAAGTTTTAACAGGAGTCGAGGCAATCGTGGGAAAAGAACTGGTTTCAGGACCTAACAAACAAAGTATAATAACTGTAAAATATTTAACAAAGAAAGATTAAAATTCCTTGTCTCTGAAATTCCAAGGAAAAATTATTTAAAATGCTATCATAAGCTTCTGTAGATTACCATAATAATTGTAAAAACATTAATTCAAACAAGTTACCTGTAACTTCGCTTTGTAAAGGATCTGAAAGTGTATGAGATCATCTTTTGATTAAAATAGCTATTGATACAAGAAAAAAATGTAACGTAGACAGAGAGAATACGAGATACTGTATGTCGTTTACGGGAGTACTACAGACAATACAGTACATGAAATGAAACACTTCGGTTTAAAACGCAAAATATATTAGGTACGACTATATTATAAACGTAATCAATAAAAAATAAGTAACTAATATATTTCGTTTGACCCTCTGTAACTAAAGAAATCTCTTAGTTTTGAGAAATCCTCTAGAGGTTTTAATCCTGAGGAAACAATGGGTTGTTTTGGTCGGGCAGGGCACAGAAGTCCGATCAACTACTTGTCTGTAAATCAAAACGATCACTGACCTAGAAATTTATTCGCTCCGTGCCCCACGGGAGAATCGGGATTTAACACATTTATATTTCGCTTCTTAAACAGGTAAAGTGTTTCATTTAAACAGCGAATCTGTATATGTATAATAAGTGTTGAAATCGAGTATCAAGTTTAAAAATCGAAAATAAATTCAGCTACCGAGTCTGGTAGAGCAACAGCACGGAAAGCTGACGATGCCGGTTCAAGTCCTGCCCGAGTCGAAACTTTTTGCCAATTTATTTTCGATTTTTAAATTATATAGTGCCTTCATGTGCAAAGTACATGTGAAAAGTATTAAAGTTTTCAATCGAGTATCAAATTCAATAGCACAAAACCCCGCACTCTTGTAGCAATCTGAATAGTACCAAGTACATTATTATGGACTTATTGCAGATTAACGGTGTTCAATCGGGTGTAAATATTTACAATGTGTAATAAACTTCTATGGAATTGAAGAATAATTGATAGTAAATCTGGATTATTGCGTGGGCTTACTCCGGCGCAGGTTATAGCGCTTCGGTGCGGTTCCACCGTAATTGGATCCATCTATTTCTAATTGTACCTCGACTTGTTGATTGGGAAATAGTTCTGAAATGATTGAAAATTACGATTATCATTCTAGATCGGTTTATAGTTTGATAACTGGAGCGGAGTAAACGGGACAGCGTACAGCGATGCCTATAAAGCAAACATATGATTATTGATATTTAAAATTTCAAATTAAAGGAGGTTTACATTATGTAAAGCAGATCAATATAAGAACATTTAAAAAAAATATTAAAATGAATTAAAAATTAAAGATCTGCAAAATATTTTATTATTGACAAGATTTAATTTTGTTTCTAGCTTTATATAATAAATAAAGATTTAAATTTTTTTTAATACCTGAAAGTTTGCTTATAGGTTTTAAATAGTTTTCCAATACACCGCTAATTTCATTATCGATAGGCACGTTTCCTAAAAGAAAATAAATAATTATCATTATTAAAGTAACACTTTTAACAGCGCAAAGTTTATTGCTTAAATTACGTTAAATACGACCCGTAATCTCCGATGCTTTGCAACAGCTGCGGTCATGGGGGTACTTTTATAAAATTAAATGACGAATCTATTTACTTACTGAAAAACAAAGTATTACAAGAAATTTATAACAAAAATATTACTTACTATAGTTATAAAGACAAAAATACGAATTAAGTAAATTGAGTAAGACGGCAAGGATAACTGACGTGTACATTACTTTTCATATATAAATAAAACAACACACAAAGTACATAGTGTTAGTTTTTTATGCGGTGCCATAAAAATATTTCTCAACTTCGATAATACCTAGGGCCGGTTTTCTTTACTACAGTACACCAAAGATATATTGGACTATAGTTAAAAACTATCTAATCGTCTACAAAATATTAAACAAATCAGCTTGGTCGTCGTAGTTTCTTTCGTGTATTCCGGATATATACATAGTTCTATTTAAATAAAATACTTTAACGGATTAAAACGCGATATATTAGTTAAACTTATTTGAAAATGATTTTTAACTTCGTGACCCCCCGTGACCCAGTGACCACGGCTGCTGCAAAGCATCCGAAACGTCGGGCCGAAGTTAAAAAATCATTTTCAAATAAGTTTAACTAATATATCGCGTTTTAAACCGTTAAAGTGTTTTATTTAAATGTGTACTGCTCGCGTAAACTATAGACAGTGTTTACATAGTTCTATGCCAAATATTTTCTCTAACGTGTTATTCTAAATTAAAATGTATATCTATATGATCTATATTTGATATATAAAAAGTGAAACTTCTTTTTTCAATATTATCAATACAATAATATTTAGTACTAGTATTTATGAAGGCTGTTGCAAAACATCGGGCCACAGTTAAAAACGTTTGTTAATATGGTATTGTATTGTGTCACAGTTACATTGGATTTTGTTTATCTGTAATGGCAGTGCGTGCAAATAAATAACGTAAAAGGCTAATAAAAATTAGACACGACAAAATGTAACTTGAAATTATCTTACTGTAATATATTAGCTGAACGATTTTAATGACAGGATATCTCCGCGGATATTCACAGACAATTTAAAAGTCTTGCTTAATTACTGTATTTAAGAACGCTATAAAAACGCCTTGCATAACGCTATGCAAATCACTGCATGAAACCTTTCTAGTGTGCATTTATTTTTAACATATCTAAAACGCATTACTTCAAACGTATTCTGACATTTGGACAATCTAGTTATTTTATGGGCTCTCAATTAAAATGTTTCATGGATAATTATTCACTATAAAACAATTTAATCAGCGGAATAACTATAATTGATAAGGTTTGATTTTGGCGTCGTTAATGTCATTTAAAACTTGATTTGAGCAATTATCGTTACATGCATTATGCATTACATATTATTGAAGTAAGATTGAAAGTAGAAATACATACTACTTTCGATCTAGATAGAAAATGTGCTAGATATTCTAGACTGCATAGTCTTTAGTGGCATGTGGACTTTATGGAGGCAACTTAACGCAACTACAGTTGGCAAACGCCATACTATTTATTCATATAATCCATATATAATAAAGAAAGGTTTTATGTGTAGGTAGTTTATGCGAGTTGTACACATTTTAATAAAACACTTCAACGGTTTAAAACCGCGATTATTTCACGTTTACTTTATTATTTTTGGTCCTTGAGGGATTCTGCCAGTATCGTCAAATACCAACTACGATGAAACAGATGTCGTAGCGTTTTATTTTTTCTTAAACATTAGAGACAACCCCTTTCTATCCCTTTTTAATATCCCTCTGACCACGACTGCAGCAAAGCATCCAAAACGTCGGGCCTTAGTTAAAAAAAAATTAAATATGTTTTATTTAAAAGAAAGTTTCTTTTGGACTCTTGTTTGATTCACAAAATGAAGGTATACCTTATTATAACATTCCACATTTTCAGATGTCGTCCAGACAAGTTGGTATTTGGCATGAGTCGTCTTGTCTATATTTAATTATCAAGCATTTTTACATAATCAAATAAATGGAACATTATCCAATCCCGGTTCACACGGGGCAAAGCAATCTTTATCGTATGATCGGTTTTATTTACAGGCAAGTAGCGAATCAGACGTCTGTGGCCTGCCCGACCGAAACAATTTATTGTTTAGGCCTCTCGCGCTATCTAGACTCTTATTAAAATTGAAATGTAACAGACGTAGTAACTGAAAATATATTCCAATAGCTTCCATTTGTTTTGACATGTAATTACCATGGGTAAAATATCAATTCCTTCGCACGATTTATTATCATATTTTGTCTCAAAGTGACTTAATGGTCGTAATATAGTTACCTTGTGTGTGCACCTGTGCGTTAATACAAAACGTAGCTAACGAATAAATTTTCATATCTGTGTTGTAGTGTAATCGAAGAATGTGAATTAAATTCATATATCGTGTTAAAAATTATATAATATAGTGGTCGTTATCAACTGAGTTTCTTACGACTTACACACTGTGTGTATCCTTGAGCTACAGAGGTAGTATTTTTATGGCGCCAGTTTTTTTTACTTATATTCATTCTTAGCCTTACTAATATTATAAATGCGAAAGTAACTCTGTCTGTCTGTCTCTTACTCTTTCACGCCAAAACTACTGAACGGATTTGAATGAAATCTGGTACACAGATGGTTTAGACCCTGAGAAAGAACATAGGCTTTTTATTGCGAAAAGGGGGTTGTAAGGTGTTAAAAGAGGGGGTGAAAGTTTGTATGGAAACTCGTGGTTTTTGAAGCTAGAACAATGAAACTTTCTTCTTTGGCTTTTTGGGAATAGGAGGGGGAGTGGGGGTGGGGGTGGGAGTGAGAGTGGGAGTGCGAGTTAGAGTAAAAGTGATGTGACGCGAGAGTGTTGCGGCAAAATAACATTGGCTGCGATAAATGTGCAATTACATAAATTAATAAACAACCTAAATAATTAAAACTTTTACCCCAAGTCACTAATCCACGTGAACGAAGTCGCGGGCACAGCTAGTATGATATAAAGCGGAAGAATTTGTTTCTTCTTTTTATATTGGTTAAAATACTTAGAAGAACGCTTTTGGCTATAAAACATTCCGCTGCGACCAACAGGAGCGAAGATATAGTTTTGGAAAAAGTCGCTGGCACAGCTAGTTAATTTATAGAGATGAGAAAGAGGTTTGCAAAAACGTATTTTCTCATGAAAAAATATTAATATATAATAATTATACGCTAACGAAATCGCTTGAAAAAGATTGTTATCAAATGAATCATTATCCGTCAAATCAAGACGTAAAATGGATTTCATAGGGTAATCATACTGTTTTAAACAGTTTTTTCTAAGTCTTGTTTTTTTAATTCTGCACTTAATTAGTAATCGTCGAAATAAATTCGCTGTTCTTTTATCCAGCGATATATGTACTTCGATAGCTTTTTATTAGGATCGTGTGTTCAACGCGATATAATATAGAATTTAATAAGAGAATCGATAAAGTTTATTGCGCTTGAAATTACTGTTCTCGTGAATCTCGATAGGTAGTTGTACCTAATATTGTTCTTATCGCGGCACATTCTAGCGACAATCGTGAGTTGAACATGTGTGATGCTGAGATTTGGTTACCGTTTCCACTAATTTAATTTACGTTCTTGTTATCGGAGAGATGAGGCACATAAATGGTTGCCCCGCGATGGCTTACGAAAAAGAGATGCATTTTGTACGATAAGTTTGAATTTTCAAACGTAAGTTAGCTTTTACAGTATATCTTACATATGACGTATCTTTTCATCCAATCCAAAAAACCCTTTTTATTTGTGTATAAAAATATTAACATATATATTACAACTATTGTCTGCAGTTTACGCGAGTAGTAAACATAAAAAAAACAGTTAACGGTTAAGAACGTAAACGGCTAATGCAAAGCATCCCAAACGTAGCCAGCGATATGACCGTAGTTAAATTAAATCAGAAACAAGTTAACTAACATAATTTGCATTTTAAACAGTTAAAAGTTTCTTTAAATTAATTTTAAAAACCTTGATCTCTTTTATTATTATTGGTAACAAAAAAGTTTTTATGCAAAAGGAAAGAAGTTTTAGGACTGGTGCATATATTATAATTGTAAAAAAAATCAAAGACAAACTGACGGATTTCCGTCTTCGATTCCAAATTCGATAGTTTTAGGAATTGGAATTTATTTTTCACAAAATGTTTGATAATTTACATTGACAGGCAGACATATAGTTTGTAACAACAGTCTATATCTATATATTACAATGGAAATCTCCAACAGTCCCTCTTTCAGAGTTATTCAGCGACACTGAGCGTTAAAACAGATTTTAAAAAAAATAGAACTACCACATTGTTAATTCTTTAGTATCCTTCCCTGAGTTCCCACTAAAATATGACTAACAAGAACATGAACGGCAATTCTTCCTCGTCCGATTGCGTCACACGAGTGTTTTGTTAATGCGTTAATAACGGCGCATGCGCCGTGTCAGCCAAATGAGTTAATCGTGCTTATAACGGGGTGGTCCTAGTTAAATCAGCTCTGAAAGTTTGTATGAATATGCATGTCTTGCGACATGTATGAGTAACTAGTTTGAGGTAATCTTGCAGCTAGTGCAATGAAAATGCTTGTGTGTAAGTTATATGAAGTATTTTGCGTTGAGCGCGAGAGGGTCCTGGGTTCGAATCCCAGGGAAACAAATAATTGTTTCGACGAGCAGGGCACAAACAATTATATTGAAAAAAAAAAAAAAAAAATTTCCCCATCCCAATGGGAAACGGGATTTCACAGACACACTTCAACCTATTATACAAAACTTGAATCGTAGTACTATAACAAAATATTTAACTTAAAAAAATAAAGGGAAGAATATTTGAAAATGTATTTTGTTTGATGTTCACCAATAGATTAGAATGAGCTTACAATAAATTTAAGTATGTTTCATTGAAATCGAATTCCAGTGAAAATAAGCTACAATGTTTAAATAAAATACTTTAACGGTTTAAAACGCGATATATTAATTAAACTTATTTGAAAATGATTTTTAACTTCGGCCCGACGTTACGGATCCTTTGCAGCAGCCGTGGTCACGGGGAAACAAATAAGTTTAACTAATATGTCGCGTTTTAAACCGTTAAAGTGTTTTATTTAAATATATAATATTTAGGCTATAATATGTTAAAGTACAAAGATACGTAGGTGCGCTCCATGAAGACTCCCTTTTGTCTGTACCTTCGTTGCCAAAACCAATTTCAACAAAATAGTGCCTAGTCGGATGGCAAGTTTTAATAAAATATGCCCGTAGCAAAAAATAATAATTTCACATTTTTTCAAATGTGTATAGTAGCATAAGCTAACACTCAATACTGTCAATAAATACAATGGTTTTTACTTCTAATTTTTATTTTAAGGTCGCATGTTTTTAAATTCAATATATTTTTGAATGCGAAATCTTTTATTTGGCTGTCTGATATCTAATTTGTCGACTACCGTACGTACCGTATACGTTGTACTAGCTTTAAGTTAATACGAGACATATAAATCATTTTATTATTATCAATTAGTATTAAACAATTAATACATGTATAGTTTACATCCAGCTAAAATTAACCGAACGTCTCTATAACGGGATCTCTAGAAATAAATCAATTGATCTTCCCCCCAGATACCCCGGAGACTTCTAATTACGTTGCTTTCCCTAATGCCATAAAATTCATCTGATAATTAGGGGTCAAGCCACACCACCCAGTGGCAGAACGTATGCCGGTTACCATGTTATGGCTATCTTGTACAAGTGCATCAAAAACAGTTCGTATTCGAGATCGTGCGCCCTCATGACCTCTTATGTAATCCATACCCATTATATGCTAAGCTGGAGTACGCGTGCCGTAGTTGTTCAGTTTAGTTTTCGTTAGCTTAGCTAAGGTTTTTATGATAGAGGAGGTCAGAAGCATTAGTTATCTTAATGGTAGGGGAAACATCCCTATATAACATCTAAACAAAATGCGCGGCCTATTTGGGCTTTACATACCTGGAACTCATCAAACTGTAGAATCATGACGAATCTAATTATTTTTTACAATTTTAAAGAGAATAAAGTATATTTTATTGTGTGACCCGAATGGAATTTCGATATACCTACCACCCATATAATATCCAGGTTTCCAGACATAGTCCAACATGTATCAGAAAAAAATATAAATTGATGAGAAAAATGTGGTGATCGAGCCCGTGATTATTAATGAATCCTATTTTATTTACACAGTATATCTATTTTCCATGATCCATACATATCGCTAATGATTCTCATAACTAACGAGTCGTGGCTTTGATTCCCATTAGAGAAAAGCTCGATGTCTCCCTTAAAAAAAATTTGGCGGGAAAAAAACGGACTCCAAAAGGGTTGAAAAACCGAAATTCCGACCTGCTTGTATTGTCTCTTAAATCTTACATCTCACCTCAGTTGTCAAAATTCTAGTATTTGTTATTTACTTTTGAGTCATCTCATGTTTTAGATTTAATTGAATTTACGATTTACATTGGTAGAGCCTAGGTACTAGAATTTACTTAAATACTAAGTTATATTGACAAGAAAATAAAAAAGGATTTATTTTAATATTATTGCTTATACTCCTTTAAACCACTAGCTGTATTAAATATTTTACACTAAGTACTTGAACGTCCATTAAACGTTAAATTCAATTTACACTGGTAGGAATTTATAAACTACAGGCGCCATATTAGCAATAACAGAGTTATGGTTTCCTCTTAGAGCTTCCTAAGCGACGATAATCATATTTTATATATAAATAACGCGTGTAAAAAAAGGCTTCTCTCGATGTACTTAAGGTCAAACTTATAATACCCACCAAGACTTATTACTGACCAATTCAAAATTCACTCAGAAGTAAGCCTAATTTATTTCATATTATAAAGGATAGGGCAGTCTCTGTGTTATTCGATAACATACGTACAGATAAACAGACAAAAATTTGCTTTGACCAAACAAAAATCCTCGCAAATTTAAATAAAATACTTTAACGTTTAAAACGCGATATATTAGTTAAACTTATTTGAAAATATTTTTAACTTGGCCCGACTTCTGTGTGTTCTCCCGTGACCAGGTGTGCATAGCATCGAAAGTCGGGCCGAAGTTAAAAATCATTTTCAAATAAGTTTAACTAATATATCGCGTTTTAAACCGTTAAAGTTTTTATTTAAAAGTAACTATCGGTAAACTATAGACAGTATTTAATCCTCGCAAAGGAAAGAATTTTTCCGAAAATGGTATGCGAAGCAATCGAAATTAGAAAACACAAAAATTTAAATAGGGAGGACGGCCTCTAGTTGTCAAACACCGGGGATCCCATATTAAAAACTCTGGATTCCAAAAGTAACACCGGCAAACGCGAAGACACCGCAAGTATATTCTGCTAGGACCCGGCCAGTTTCGACAAATGACATGACTCGTAACGTCATTGCGCGTTTAATGACGTTTGGTGCGCTGGAACATTCAATTTAGGAAAACGTTATTCTTTACAACACGAATATATAAAGCTGAAGAGTTTGAAAACGCTAATGTCAGGAACGAGTTCTTCCAATTGAAGAATTACTTTTGTGTTGGTTAGTGAATTTATCGGACAACGCCGTAAAACATCACGCTGTGACCAATAGAAATAATTAGTATACTTTGTGGGCTTCTGTTGTTTACGCTGCGAAAACTGTTTATAACTAATCTGCGTGGACGTGGTCGCTGAGACAGCCAGTATAGCAGATAGTGTGTAATATACAGTAGTTATCAGTAGCAATAATATAACCAACTATCATACCAATGCGTTTATGTTGTCTATGGTAATTTAATTATGGCTCTAACTTCCACACACCGCTAATGAAGTACGCTATTAAATTAGAGCGATTTACCGATATTAAGATCTTCACGACCCGTTTAACCATTATTAGTTAACTAACGATAGCCTTTTGCTTCGCTCGCTATCTTAACTACCTATATTGGCTATTTTGAAAACCGCCTAATAATTTTATAGTATCGTTAAGCGGATATTATCTTCGTGAATACTCTGTTCATATTATGTGGAAGATAGCAAGACGATGTGTAAATTATGACTTCATACAATTAAATGCATTCATCTAAGCTATATGTTTGTAGATTGATATTTCAAGAATAAAAGCAAAAATGTAAAGGAGATATAACTTTCCAATTCTAATACCGTTGTGACCACGGCTGCTGCAAAGCATCTGAAAAGTCGAGCCGTTGTTAAAATATTTTTCAAACAAGTTTATCTAATACATATCGCGTTTTAAACCGTTTAAGTGTTTTATTTAAAAGAGATATAAGTTGTTATTTTATACTTTTACATAGCTCCTGTTTACCCAAAATTGTTGTATCATTTTTCTTACTATTGAGAAAAATAATGTAATAATTTTGAAGTATGGAAGCAACCAAATAGGAAATTAATAAAAAAAGAATTGAAATCAAAAAGGTTTAAATTGAACTTACCTCCAATCATACTTATTATAATTAAAATAAAGAAAGCGTCTTTATCATATAAGTATTTCAACGCAAACTACATATC